GCGAGTAATTGTTTCCTGTTGAAGATAATCATCAACAATGCGAGCTCTGTGTGGTCTTGCATTATCGTCCTGTAACAGGAAGCAATCACCAATTGCCCCGGCATATGGGCGCACATAAGCATCAAGGATGTTGTCTCGATAAACCTGAGCATTCACGGTTCCCCTTGGAAAGACATGGAGGTATGTGCGCCCTCCTAAGGATATGCCTCCCCAAACACAGACACTGCCTCTTCCGTATGCATCTCTTTCACGGATGTTTGATGGATGATAACGGGTCCCAGGTTCTCTCCATATCAAATAACGTCTACTGTCACTTTCTAGACTAAACCTGGACTCATCCGTAAAGAGAACAGGCCTCCATTGATCTGACGTCCAGTGGACATGTTGTCGGGCCCACTGCAAACGGTCTCTCCTATGGCGTGATGTGAGCGGCACGCAAATGGCTGGTCGTCTCGCATACAGACCACCTTCGTGGAGCCTTCTGCGCACAGTTGACGTTGACACCAACCTTCCGGTGGCTGCAGCAAGAGAGGATCTAAGATGTGTCGGAGTAGCGGTTCTATTCCTGCGTGCACTTAATGTCAAATATCGGTCATCGGCACTGGTCGTAACAGTTGGCCGTCCTTGACTGAACCTCCTAGATGCCGAATCTGTGGTTTGAAATTGCCTCCAAAGTCTATGAACCACAGATGGACTCACATTTAGCCATCTGGCCACTTCTGATTGACTCTGCCCTGCCTCTAGTCTCCCGATGGCTCTCCATCGTAGTTCTTCAGGCAAATGATGCCTAGAGGTCATTATTACGAATTGGCTATCTCAGATTTTCAATGTCGCAATCACAGTAAAATTTGTGTGCTTTCTCTCAAACTTGGACTTTTATGCTCCAGGCAGATGACGTAAGCCGAGTGCAGCGCCACTAATTTGCATATTGCAATTTTACTCAGCTACTCTTAGTGGACAACATATGCAAATTTTGCACGGTTTGGCTTACTTTTGAAAGAGTTATCGCTATTTTTGTGATTTTTCCTTAATTTATGATAACCAGTGTATATCCCTTTCGAGGAGCCGTAAAAAGCTTCATTCCAAAGTATCGGTATTAAAACTGCTTAGTATTGGTGCAGTTTTACATTATCACCCATTATATCAATGTCATACTTTATACCTATATTACTATATTTGGTACTTATTACATAACCCATCAACATTTGAGTTTATACATATTTGTCAGTGGCAGCAAACTAAAATCCAATTTTTTTAAAGAAAAAAACATTAGAACTTCATATGGAATTTTAAGCATGACCATTTCTCTATCTAACCATTAAATTATTGTTAAAATATTTATATGTAGAGGGAGGAAAAAATTTCTTTTAACTCCAATTCTTTAAAATATTTATATACTATCTTAGCTATCACAGGAAAAAATATTCTCTGAAACAACAGAAAACCCATTGAAGAATTTTTATCAAAACCAATTCGCCAATTACTATAATAACAGTAGTATATATTACCGTCAGAGATACATATGAAGTCATCAGTGAATGGTGATTTTTTACGGTTTCCTTTTCCCATAATCTTTCCTCCGTGAGCTTGGCTTTTTAGCACGAAGCTTATTTTATTTTATTTCAATTAATACACATTAGCAATATTAATTGAGCATTAGTGTCAATAATAATATGCAGATTTTTTACAGTTAACTAAATCTTTTTTACTTAATTTTGCTTTTTAGTTTAGAAATTACTTTCAATCTATCTATATATTTCAATCTATATACATATTTCTCTTACACGGCGACAAAAAAAGCCTCATTACAACTCCCCGAATGGCAACGCTAGAAAATCGACCAATGATTGCCGATAAAAATGTCACATGCCAAATCTAGTTGAGATGGCTCAACATATAGCGCTTTTAAAAACGGAAGCTGAAATAACCAGAGAGAGCATAAACTAAGCAGAAGTGAGTAGTCTTTGTCGATAGATCTCCATTTTAGTATTTTGTCGAAAGCGCTTTTTTCACGAATTCATATATTACGAATTTATTTGACGATTTTTGATTTATATCACGAATTTATTTGTTTTATTAGAATTTATTTATTTATGCAAGTTTTTCCATTGCAATTCACTTATTTCAATTTTTAATAAACTTAATTATAGCCAAAATTTTAACCTTTTTAAGGAGATATCAGTTTTAGAAATTTTATCTTAAGATTTTACACTATATATCACATTTCTAACAGGTTTAACGAATCACATGTAATTTATTTGAATTCAAATTTATTTTAATGACTTAGTATTTACTAAAAAGATGTAATTTTTTTTTTAGAAAGTTGTTATATGGATTTGAATGATTGTTTTGAATTCTTAGAATTTTGTGCATTCGCAATGTACCTAAGTTAGTAGCGAGCGAAGCGAGCTTGGTTTGCGAAGCATATAAGATAGCGTAGCAATTTTCGGGGATTGACGAGCGTTAGCGAGCAGGGGGCGCAGTCCACTAGTTAATACATATTACCAACATTAATTAAGCTTCATTGACGATTTGTTATAGTTTTCAGTGGGATGGTTTTGAAGTCTATAAAGAACACACACATTCACAAACATTCATTTATATACTGCTTTCATAATTTTCAACAACAGGATTGTTTTTTTTATAGGATTTAGAGATAATTTTAATTTTTCCTCTAATCCTAGAATATCTTCTTTAATTTTTGATAATATTTCATCAACTTATGAAGTTCGTTGTCTCGCGTAATTCTTCTAATTAAACTTTTATTATTTCGAGAGTATTTATTTTCAATTCTAGTAACATCTTATCTTCTTCTTTTTGAACACACAGTCTATGAAGAGCTGGAGGGCCAAATCTTGCCTAATCCGAAAAGGCAAGATTGGATAATCGTTGGATATCCACCGCTCATTGATAGCTGGGCTTCAATTGCAGGTGGCTGCGTTCTCTAGAGCATTTTCCGCCAAAGTATGAAAGGTTCCTCGGTATGCGTTCCCAAGATGTCTGCCGCATCTCCTCGTAAAGGAGCCGCAAGATGAAAGGCCGTTGAGTTCTATATGTTAGTTCATCGACAATAGAGAGTTGAGTTTAATATGGAGTCTAGAGGATTTCCCGTCAAAAGAGGAAGGTTTGATAACACCTTGAGATGTTGCAAAACATAAATTTAGTTTCCTCAGTAACTGGTTTGAATTCTAATCCCTTTTTCCAGCATTAAATTTTCGAATCCCCTTTCTTATCAAAATCTTTCTCAATTTTACCTACTCTTTCTTTTATCTCTGAAAATTCTTCTTCTACTGAATATATTTTAATTTCCACAGCTTCTTAATTCTTTTTGCTTGAAGCATTTCATTTACACAGGATCTTTCTTATCTTCTACTTGTCCGGCATCCATTATGGCCTTTATCTCTTCTAGCTGCTCCTGTTCGGCGTTTAACTTAGCCTTCATATCTTCTGTAGTAGCGTCCATCTTGGACTGCATCTTGTCTTGGCTGGAAGCCATCTTCTCTTGACTTGCGTCCCTCTTGGCCTTCCTCTTCTGAGAGATCTCCATCCACTTATCCGTAGCCGCTGATCCTGTGATTGGCATTCACTCCAACCCCGTTTCTGACCCTAAAAATGTACCGAGCGTAGGGGTCCGTTTCGATTGGAGATGACCAAAACAGTCCTTAAGACTCCAAAAATTTATTAGCAGAATCTTCCAGAATGTTACTAGCACTCCATTACAGCTCAAACAGCAGTGTAGTACACAAGAAAACGCAGGCTTTGTAACCTCAGGAGATTCAATAAACTCACTAGAACAGTCACAAGCAGACTAATTATCTCTCTTGCGCTGCATAATACTCCTATTTATATAGGCTTGGCGAGAAAACTTTCTCTTTTCGAGTTTAAGTAATTCTAATGGGTTATGAAGTACGCCGAAGATTTATCTAAACTATTAGTGAATTTATCATTTTTCTCGTTTTCTTGAGAAACAGGAAAACTACTCAATAATTACAAAGGGGTAAGTGACAATAAAAGAATATATTATAACATAAGATATATAGGACAAAAAGCTACTACAGCTACAACTACTACTACTACATTCAAAAAGCGTAGATGTCTCTTTTTTAACAATATCTTTTTACAATTGCGGTTACAATTTAATTAACAATAAACGCTGCCATCTATCGGTGGCTCAACAAGTATTTCTACAAAAACTCCGGAACTTTCGACATGATTCTACACAATTCTCGTATAACTCCGTAAATATGAGTCCTATCGCTTTGAAACTCGAATTTTCAAAAACTACCTCTTTGGTGCCAAAAGGATCGACAAGATGATCACAAAATAAGCAAATAAGTCGCTAAACCAAGTCTTCCTTAAAAAAAATAGATTAAGCGTTATTACTCTGTCTAAATTACATTACATAAATACGCAACTTCCAAATTTTTTAATCAAACTGTTAATTTTGCGTCCGTCAGAGATATTTAGTATCAGAATATTTACAAGATTATACACACATCTACAACCTCGCACATTCTTTCAACTTCTGAATTCTTAGTTCCATACCAATGAGCCGAATAAATGAATAGGACAATAGCTAAGGTTTTTATAAACAACGTGTTTTTATTTTTCCATTTAATTTTACACTGAGTGATTTTAATTTCACGATAACTTTCACAAACTCTAAAAATATGTATGAGGAGCCATAACTACTCGAATTTAAGACTATATCCGAAACATTGTCCAAATATGTTGTTTCTCTCCCCTTTCTTCCCATAAAAATCATATTGTTAATAAGATATCAGCATCGATTTTTATTTTATTTTAAACTTTCATCAGTTTTTCTGAAAAATGAATCCAATATAAATACGAAAATTAAATATTTTTCTTTCCTGTTTAAAGTTTCCTGGTTAAAGTTTCCTGTTTAATATTAGTTACTCAATGGTGTTGAAAAAAGAAAAAAAAAAGAAAACGTTGCTTCCTCTTTTTTTTTTTTTTAAAGGCGATCTATACACTAATGATAGTGATAAAGGAAGAAGGGGGTTAGATAATATAAGTAGCCACGAAAAGAAAGTGTGTCCTCATTTCAAGGCTATTCAGAGAGGAGCTGTACCTAGGTAAGATTATTGTTATATTCATATATCTATTTTATTCATATAGTGTTCATGTATCTAATGTATTTTACTTTTTATTTTAGTAGTATTCATTTTTTATAATTTATGATAATTATTAGAATTTATTTTTAAAGTTTACGAAACTTGTCACGAAAAAAAGAACTTGTTACTTGAAAAGATGCATCTCTATCTGTAAAACAAGATAAAAACCAAAAAATGACGCTGCATGATTGTGTATCAACAGCAGGTTTGCGAAACATTAAATTAAATTTGCTATATATCGCATAAAATAAAGACCCCTTCTCCGACTTAATAATAGACGAATAAATCAATAGAAAATGAAAATATACCAATTCTGGTCAAAATCTAGAAAAGAACATCTTCTTTATGCGAAGGCAATTTACTTATATGATACTACATTATCCATCTCTATAAAGATATAAACTTGCTCCTGCTGTAACTGTAACTGGTTTGACATCTGAAATCAATAACTAACAACAACTGCAATCACATTAAATTCAGTTATTTATTTTTCGGAATGTATATTCTTTCCTTTTGTATTTATTTCGTATTTACTTGTATTTATTTACTATCGACACACGATTACCTAATTTGGTTCCACTATTTCATTATTTGAATACCAAAATTAATCTTTGCATCCATATATATTTTATTTATATTAAAATAGGCTCAAAATACTTTCCATTGTAAAGAGTATGTGAATTATAATGACGGCAAACATGATTTTTTAGTTCAGGTAACAAATTTTACAATAATTAAATGCGATCGACAACAGCCACTCCAAAAATAAGGAGAGTAAGTCGTTAAAGGTCATTGGATTGTAAATTAGCATCTCTTTAGGGAACAGAAATCATCCAACAAAGTAGCTGATTATTTTTCATCTTAGATTTAAAAAAAGAAGAGGGAAAACGAAAAATGATTTTTAACTCCTAAACCTACCCAATTAACATTTGTTTTAGGTTCTTAAAAAATTTTGCAATCTGCAGATATATGCATGAGCAAACGAAAAGTTATGATTTTCAGAATTTCTATATAATATACTTCAAGTATAGTGGGATTCTGAAAAATAAAGAAAGACATTTTTTAAAACTTCAATTGTTCTACTTTAAGAAAAATAAAAAAATTGTAAGAACATTTTTTATGCATAATTTTATCTGCATTTTACTCTGCTGTGTTAAATTAAATCTAATTTTTAAAATAATAGTTTGCAGACTAAAAGATTTTAGGTCCGACTGACACTGTTATGTCGTTACTCAGAAATTTTTATAATTTCATCATACTGCGTATGAATTTGTTGTAGCATAATATGTATCAAAAATATCAATTAATGATGAGAAAATATTATCTCTCATTCCAACGAAAAAGGGTATAAATTTCAGTGAAAAACCCGGGACCAAAAGTAAATAATTTAAAGAATTTATATGCATTTTATTCCAAGATGAAGATGTAGGATCACTTGCGGTATTATTTTAGAGCATGCGTTGAACAGCCGACCCAATTTTGAATTTATGACAATCAACTCCGTATCGTTATTGCAATTTTGAATCCAACCTAGAACACAAAAAAACCCTTCTAGATCAAGAATTTCGACAAACTAAACTTCGCGGAGGACCTTTTCAAGAATTCACATTTGCGTTACATGGGGTGATGGGAGCGGAAACCACACACGGTTGGGTAGACGGCTAAAGGATTCTAACCCATCTACCAGGATCTGTATCAGCACTGTGGTGGGTATCAACCAGGAACAGAATTCGAATTGATCAGCCTTTTCTACACTGGTGTGCAAAACTTAAGCAACAAGTGCGTTTTTTGTCATTACTCAATCAAGAAATCATCCGATTGACGTGAAATTTGAATATGATGTACATTATTTTGTACTTAAACGATGGTAAAAGAATAGTGGCGCAGAAATGAATATAAAACTTAAAGTAGGGTAAGGAACAAAAAAAGGCTTTATTTGACATATAGTGGCGTTACACATGATTGCCTGAAGAAGCGTAAGTACAACTGGCAGATGTTCCCTAGTATGGGATATGCCCTCCCCTTACTGTAATTGTTGCTTGGCATCGTCTCTCCATGCTAAGCACCAGATTATCCAGGAGTTCTTGGGGTAAACGTCTCCATTCCTCCTTTAACGCATCTTTCAGCTGATGGGTGTTACCAGGAGGATACTGTCGTGTCGCAAGACGTCTCCCTAATGCATCCCACACATGCTCTATGGGATTTAGATCTGGAGAGTAAGCTGGCCAATCCATTCGTGTGATATCTTCACTTTCCAGTAGCTCTTGAACATTAGCAGTACGGTGTGGCCGGGCATTGTCATCCATAAAAATGAAGTCTGGTCCAATGGCCCCTCGGAACAGACGCACATGGGGTAGGATTACCTCATTGCAGTAGCGGTCTCCAGTTACAGAACCTCGGTCGAAGATCTGAAGCTCAGTCCGCCCGTTCAACATAATGCCACCCCAGACGACAACTCCAGGACCACCGTAACGATCTCTTTCCGCGATGTTATTGGGATGAAATCGAGCTCCAACCTCTCTCCAGATCAACTGACGTTGAGAATCGCTTGTAGCACTAAAACGACTCTCATCTGTGAAGAGGACGCGACTCCATTGATGAGGTGTCCAGGTTTCGTGTTCTCTGCACCACTCTAAACGGTGCCGCCGATGGCTAACTTTTAAAGGTATGCAGCGTTCAGGACGTCTAGCAAATAAGCCACCTTTGTGGAGGCGTCTGGCCACTGTAAATCTTGATACTTGTCGTCCTGTGGCTGTGCACAGTTGCTGAGATATGGCGCTCGCTGACTGAAAACGGTTTCTTTTCGCCTGGAGGACAATGTAACGGTCATCTCTTGGTGTTGTTTTCCTTGGACGGCCACCACCAACCTTCCGAACAGCTGAACCAGTAGTTTTAAAGGCATTCCAAGCACGAGAAACAACACTTTTGTTGATCCCGAACTCTTTGGCGACACTGGTCACACTACGCCGCTCCTCAAGCTTCCCAATCATTCTTCCTCGAGTAAAGTCGTCTAAATGATTTCTTGACATGTTTCACAAAACAAATCACTTGCAGTTGCAGCGAATGTCTTTAACTACGGTGCTCCTCATCCTTTTATCACAGCTTTGACCTGCGCGCTGATCCATAAGGTTTACGTACACTTACATCACCTACGACGTTTTATTTCTAAAATTTTACATACAAATAATCTTTCTACTGAATTACGTGCACATTATACTGCAATTTCATGGATATCTTATACTTTGTTGGGGAGCTGTGGCCGAAAAACCACTTGTTGCTTAAGTTTTGCACATCAGTGTAGAATTCCCCGTAAATTATACGCAAATTTTTGGAAAATCGGTAATGTCAATACGCATAAATTTTTATTTAATATTTACGGAATGATATTACCATTGAGATATACGGTTCAAACGAATTAAAAGAGTTTTTAAACACAATTAAAAAAATAAATTTATCCAACCATTATTTCACGTAAAAAATAATTTTCAATAATCATTTTTTAAATGCTGTTTTGCTTAAAAAGAATTCGAAAAAGTTTCTAATTGAAAGTTAGACAGTTTTTTTACATCGGTTTGAATAATGTAGATTTAAATGTTACAATAAAAATTTTGAACAAATCCGCTCAAATAGGTCCTGAGGTTTAAAATATAAAATAAGTCACCTATTTAAAATCTGGTGTCTTGTAATCTATTTGACCGATTTTCGTAGAAATTTTTTATTTTAGCTTTCCATAGCCTACAATGAGGTAAGATTTTGTATGCTTAACTTTTCAAAAAATTTCCGATCATTTATTAAATAAAATAATCAAGGAAAATTGAAAATAATTTCATTTGCATAAAATTTTCTTTGTATAATCGAGTTTTATCAGAGTTCGAGTGAACAAATTTTTTTATTTCGCTAACTCAAAAAAATGGAAATAAAATTAATTTAGGAATTTGATTTTTCGACCACTCTCCGAACATGTCTTTCAAGGTTCAGACTACTTCACTCATATTTTCATGAGAAATCAAAACTCATGGAAAGAAAAGAAATTCAATGAATGCAGGTTTTTGTGTTCGTAATATTATAAATTATTATTAGCATTAATAAATTAGCATATTTAAAGTTAATTCTCTGATTTTCCATCAGCTCGTAAAAATCCGCTCTTGCAAAAAAATTTATTCAGAAATTTTTTTTCAACGCATTTTTAAAGTTTTAAACGACACACTTCAAACTGATCGGATAAAACTATTTTTGTTTGAAATAAAATCAGTTTCTGAAAGTTTTAAATAACACAGTAATTGTTTTGTTACGTATTTATAATTATAAAACCTGAATTTGACGACAAGCTGGTTCGAGAGTAGATTTTAAAATTCGTTTCATAAATATTGTACAGATACTTTCACATCGTAGTATTTTTCAAGCAAAATTGTTCAAAAATGGGACTATGAAAGAAATGATAAATCCACTCTTTCAACTACAGACTCTGATCCGAAATAATGCATAAAATTGACACAATTAATATTTTCATCTGATGGTTCTCCTGAATGAATCAGCACCTTTTCTCTCTTAACTTTGAATACAGCTTGTTTATTCTGTAGAATTGAGTTTTAAAAACTCAACTATAAACGAAATAAACTCGTGGTGGTCAGATGGTCTTTAGAAATATTAGTAGGGTGACGTCATCGATCCACAAGCCATCCACGTTGATCAATAAGTTTGTAAAAAATAATTAAACAACGAAACTCAGAAAAACTTAACAGAATCGTTCACATTTAGATTTATAACAATTACTAATGCTATTTAAACATTTTTTTCGGATCGGGGACCAGACATAAGAGAACATGCTCCGAAACAGTTAAATTTGTAAGAATGACTGATGGTAAACTAATGAGAAGGAAAAAAAAAATCTTTCCAGCACGGACTAACTAAAGGGAAATTTTTTTAGGTAAAAAATTACTGCTTGTAGTCGATCTCCAACTTTCTAGCACAAATTGTTCCGGAGTTACAACAGATACGACATAGCTTTTAGATACCGCAGACAAACATAACCATCGAATAAGCACAAAGTATATTCTTGTTCATTGCTACGCATTCCAAAGTCTCTCTCTATTAAAAAAAATCGTACGGTGTTCAACTTTACCTTACATTTTTGTTTTTCTGCAAAAATATTATGAGACTTTGAAACTAGAATTGACGAAACTATGAAAAAGTTATCCAAGTAATACAATGGCATATAAAAAAATGTTATTCGATTTTTAGTTCAAGAATTATCAGCTGTTAAATTTGTAGTAAAAAATGCCAGGTGAGGCGATTGACAGCTTGCGACTACAGAGTTGAAATTTGACTAGTTGAAAGTCCATTTTCATTCATTTACTTAACACTAGCTCATTTTTTTTTTTTTTTTTTTGAGATTCTAATTATTGCGAATTTTAATTGGTTCTAACGAGAATTTTTTTCAATTTCTTTTGCTTTAACTAATGACGGTTTTACCATTGTTGCAGAAAATTTTATTTTTCCTGATGATCTTCATTTTACAAGCTCCCGCTTTATTTGATGTCAAAGGATAAAAAATGAGTAAATGTAATTAAAAAATTGAAAAAGCTAGTAGATATTGCCTAAAAATCATAACATTCAAAGTTTTTTTTTTTTAAATTAAAAAACCACTATAAACAGATAAGATAAAATTTAAAAAACCACAAAGAGATAAAATTTAAAAAACCACTTGCAATTTGAACTCTTACATGATATGAAGTTACATATTGTTAACAAGTCTCGCATTCAATTTTGCTAAGTTAAATTTTAGTTTTTTATGTACATAAGCATTTAAAGTATCGAAAAGTGATGAACACATAAGGAAAGAAAGCTGTCCCCGCTCAGAAATCGGTTTAGGAGAAGGGTGTGAAAACTAGAAACATATTGTGTTATTTTATAAAAGAAACTTCTTGAATGAAGTCAGGGTTCAACTTTTTTTACATCGCAGTGTAATCTAGCTTAATAGTACCTATAGATCCCTAAACAAACTTTTCCTTTATTTCAAACAGACAATTTATGTTACGTTTCATTTGCCGTTGGATTCAATTCAGTAGGATCGTGATTTTTTTTATAATGATTTTTTTTAATGATTTTTTTTAGATCTGAATACAGCCGGAATATCTGAGAAACCTGCTATGGCGCACATGATTTCTAAAAAATACGACGCTGTTCAGCACTTCCTGTTCAGCACTGGTAAGTCATTATTCTCTCAACCCGAAGTATATCCTTTTAAACGGCCTCTAATTGAGTCAGAAATTATCATTATTAGACAGGACGCAGTAGGTTGAATGATGCAATCTCCTATTTTTAATTTTAGCTAGGTTCAAAAATTTCTAAATACACGTGAGTAAAGGATTAGTTTGTTCATTAGTTAAGATTCAGCAAAAAGAATTTTTCAATTTTTTTTTAAAATACCTTTTTATTTAATAAATTATAACTGATAATTCAAAGTGATAGTATAGTATAAATAAGTGATAGTATTCCCAATCTACATAATGTTTCTAAAATACATTAATAGCAAAGGGGGAAATTTGACATTGTATACAATGTCCAGGCAATGCAAAAAGACAAAGAGTGAAATATATTTATTTCATGTTGCATGCTCAAAATACTTTCTTGTACTTCACAAGAAAGGTCGCGGTTATCGGCTTAACCGGGTAATAAAGATGTATGGACCATTGTTCAGTAAGCACTTGCTCGGTATTCCCTTCATAGATGACCATTGATCGGTATTTCCCATAGATTTGTTTATCATGGTATACATGACTCCGTTACTCCTTAACTGCTGTCTTCTCCCTAGAGGGTCATAACTTAGCATTACATACACTGATGTTTTTTCCCAGTCGACTATTATTAATGACCCATTAAGTCTCAATAATATGGGATAATGGTATGTTGCAATGACGCTTGTTCACGTGAATGTTACGTCCATATTACATCATTCTTAACTACCCATCGTTTACTTAAAAAGATTATCCTGATTATTCAGAATTACCAAACCATTATTATGTAGAGGAACTGCTTGAAGTTTGTATACTATACACAAGCGGTTTTCAAAAGATGTCACACAGAACCCTAAGGTTCCGTGAAAAAGTTCACCAAGAATTGGAACATTTGTTTTTTTACCAGCTATGATTTTTGAAACTTTTAATTATATTTATATTCAATCTGATAAACCATTATTGTTTTAGTATTGGTTTTTTATGAACTTATTTTAGTAAAATGCAAGTAAATATAAAAAACAACAACATTTAAATGCATGTACGTGTTACAGTAAATGACCGAAATCAAGAGGTGAATGTCGACAATCACATAGTCGCTTTGGTGAATGTCCAAAATATTGGTTATATCCTATTATTTTGCTCGTAGATATTATTATATTTTAATATTTGCTGAGGAAAAACATCAGTGTTCGGAGTGTTACATGCATACTGGGCACTTGACCTCAAAGCACTTAGGGCACTTAACTAGATCTTTATATATATATTTCGGACATTTTCCAAAGCTACCGTGTGATTATCAACATTCACTCATTTCGGTCATTCACAGTTGCTTCAACAATTTCTGATTCCTTTATGTTCGCCAAAAATATTCAGGCAGTTCAGAGTTTTCCTAATTTCGAAACCACTTCAATTTAGATAATACTAATCTAGTATTTATTAGACTTCGATAAGTTTCAAAATCTTTTTAGTGATAAAGATAATTTTACTATCCCTTTTTTAGTAACAAAAAAAATCATATTTTATAGTATCAAGTTTGATTGAATATTGTACCTTATGATAAGGAAAATAAGGCATAAATGTATATATGATTGAATGATAAAGACATGTATTTATAAACGAACCTTATTCACCATTTAATGAAATGACCAAATTTATTAATAAAGATACATCGTTCCATTTTAATTGCTTATTTTTTGTCCTTTTCTTCTCAGCCCTTAAAGTTTATACATACACCAGAATTAGACTAGATTCCGCTAGATTAGATTGCATACACCAGAACTATATTCAACACTGTCTGACATGAAACCTAATTTTAAAATAAAACAATGTTTTCTCATAAAATAGTTTCTAAATAATTAATAGTTAATTGATATGCTCATTTATAAAGTGGGTTCCGTTGATGTGCAGAGTTTGATGTAAGTGTGAAGCTAATTTGGCGAAATTGATAGTTTTTAAGCATGTTTCAAAGATTGAAAAACAATATTGTTCTTTAAGAAGTTCAAGTTTTCTTAAAAATTTTGTTCTTTGTTCCTTTAAAAATAAATTTCGAATTCTCATTCTAATTGCATTAAACATCAATATACGTTAAGTGCTTAATTTTATCTGCATGAAAGTGGAAATGTTTAATTCAGTTATCAGAAAAACTACATTACTACAGCTACAACTACTTTGTTACAACTGTGGTTCACTAAGACGAATTTTTTTTTTAAATGTAGTCACTGCAAACTACTTTGGAATTAGTGAATACTTTGCTACTTTAAGGCGACGAAGTTTGCTGGAGAACTTAATTTAAATCTATGTTCAAAATGGTTTTGAATAAGAAATTGGTTCACATTAATTAAAAGAGAATAACTAAGAAATATTTATTAATGAGCCAGTTGGTTATTCCAAATTTTTTTTTTTTCGAATTTGTTGATTTCACTTCCAACGCTTTATGACTTTTTAGACAGCGAATATTTAATTTAAGATAAACAAAATTATCAAATAATTGCTATTTTGTACTGCTTAATGCTTTTTCTAAAATTTCCCCTGAGATATTAAATACATCGAAAATACGTTCCATTTCTTCGAAATAACATGTTTGCATCACAAGTGTGCATTCCCGTTTGAAAGGGCGACGAAAGTAATTAATAATCTATTTTTCGTAATGACTAGTTTAAATAGTAGTTACACGTGATTTTAATTACGTAATTTCCGTTAAAGGTCAGTTGCAACAGCATTTTCCTGCGCACCCATCAAATTCAAAAAATTAGAGTAGGTACTACTGTGTTTTTGGATTGCTCACTACATTAAAAACTACGAAAAAAAGTAGCGACTACAGAACTATGTATTTGTAGTTCTCTATTTCCAACCACTGGTTTCATGCTTTTTTGATCAATAAAATGCTATTTTTGCAGTTTCTTCTTCTTTCCTTTAGTTTCGTACAAAAACACATTCATTTCTTTTTTAACTGTTAGCATTTGGTGGGAAAAATAACATATTTTGTGCTACGTATGAATAAAGTGAAAAACAATATTAGTAAAACACGCATAAAGTATGGGACATATTTAGTTCCATAAAGCAAATACCTTCCTCAGTGTCTCAACATAGACACTGAAGAAGGTTCTTTTCTGTACTTTTATTTATGTTGTTCAATAAATGAATGTGTTTTTCAGAGGCTGACTACGCGGATCGTATAGGCCGTATACATTATCCTCTCGCCATTGTCTTTGCCTATCTACTCATCGTAAAAGTATTGGGTCCACTCATTATGAAACCATTAAAGCCATTCAAATTAAATGGATTATTGATTGCATTTAACGTCGTCATTATTTTTTGGAATGCGTACATCAGTTACAGCGTAAGTATCTTCCGATTAAATTTAAAAAAATTATCCCCTTGCTAAATTTTTTCCTCCTGTGTTTCTCAACTAAATATAGAAGTTAAAGTAGTTCCTGGATCAAAACAAAATATGAAAATAATGTATAAGGCGCGTGATTGGTGGAAATTTTTAACTGTTTCGTTTTCTCTTTAAGTATTTACCTTAATTAATATTCAGAAAAGAGGTACTCTGATACTATCTGTTCGTGGGGGAGAAAACACGCTTCAAAGCCGGTGTTTGATTGGATTTGCAACAAAGGTGAGGCAAATATTTACATTTGGTCAATAACCTCTGTCAACAGTTTTCTTCTCATAAAATGAATAAACGACTTCTTGTCCAATAGAGCGGCAGTGGACAGATCGTAAAAACACGGTTCCCAGTAAAAGTTAAGCATCACTGACTGCGGTCAGTTAGAGGGTGGGTGACCACTTTGATCAACCTGCGTTGAGACCGAGGGTGCGCGGTATCGGTCCTTCTTAAACTTTTCTACCGTAAAGTGCTCAACATCGAGAGTAGGTAGTCGGGATGCCACAGCAGGGGAGCTATCCCCTCTGCAGAGGATCATCCTCAAGAATGTTTCCCATACCGTCAACCATAGTCTATTGTGCAGCTCTAGCGTGACGCAAATAAAATACGTACCTATCAATAGAGAAAACTTCGGGGTTATTTTAAAAGTTATGGTTTGCATGAAGCGTAGGTATAACTTTTCCATGGGGGTCGTTCAAAAATTTAAAATTAACAAAGTGAAGTGAGGTTAAATTCAAAACAGGTGTCTAATATTTATCCTTTACAGGTTTTTAAATGGAAATTGGTAACGTTTAACTATCCAAAGCTTTGTAATGTAAATTTAAAATTGAATTTTATTTTCAAACTGTATTAGAAAATCTATTAATTTAATATGACACCATGAGGATAAATGAAATGAACGTTGGTTTTCTATCAATTATCTGCAATAACAAAAAACATGTATTTAAAAGTAACTTTAGTTTACAACATGATTTTTAAATTTTTTTATGACTAATAAAATAACAAGACTTTTATAAGTTTTCTGTTTTAAATCGAACTGAAGCCAGTGTATGTTCTAATTACCCCTTGGATGTCTTACTAAAAAATTTCATTGCCAAAACTCTTACTATAGTAAATCTTTTGATTCGAAGCAAATAGAAACTTTATTTTAGTTATCATTCTTTCTTTAAAAAAAAACAATTTACGTTTATTTTGTATTAATTTAGAAAAAATTTCTTTTTAAAGATAAATTCGCCACCTACCGTCGAATCATTTTGGAATCAATCCATTTCTAATAACCCCTTTCGTTTGAATCCTGAAAAAGTTTAGGTTTGAATCCTTAATTTACTTACAATTTCCTTGTTAAAAAATATTTTCGATTTAATAAAAATGTTCTAACAAAATTCTAGGCAAGATAAAACGTTGATTTAAGGGACATTTGATTGGTGTCTCTATTTCTATGCAAAGAAAAGGTAAGATTAGAATTTTAGATAAAACAAATGTTATCTCCCATCTCTGAAACTCATTCAACTTTAAGGGAACACCCATTGATTTTAAAAATATATGACTAATCATTAATTAGTAACTTTTAAAAAGAGTATACAAGAGAATAAAAAACTTATTTTACAGCTGATAACAGTTTTAATGAAATTTTGTATGACAAATGCTTTTTAATTTTGTCATTAGTTATTTAATTTCAGTTGTGTTCGGTATAAAAATAATTCAATGCAACTAAATTATTGCCAGGAATAAACGTTAAATACTATAAAAAGAATATTTTTATGATCTTATTTTTAACTTGGAATTTTTTTTATTGAAATACATTTGTTATATATATTGAAATTTTTCGTACATCGTACGACTTATCTTTTTTTTTTAGGTATATACGTGTTTCACGATTTTTATATATGCAACATTAGCTACTTTGTTTCTTTCATTTTGTTTGCTTTCTCTATTATTTTAACACCAGACTTTGATTTTAACTCCATTTGATTGCTTTTCACTGAGAACGCAATACCATTTGTTTTTAGAGTAGAATAGTCATTTTCATCATTTATTGTGATATTTTGTATTTTGTTTTTTTAATATAGATATAGGACTGCGTAAGTTTTATTAAAACTGCTACAGAGGATGAATATAATATATTGTGAGTCTTAGATTTGTATAGTGCTTTTCTTTTCAATCAAAAATTTAGTTTATTCCAAATACATATTTCCCAGAGAAGAATATAATGATAAATACTTGTTTCGAAATTTGAAATATCGGATTTCTAAAAAAATAACTTTTGTTTTATTTCTCTTAAAGGGATTTTCTATTGAAAATTAAAAAAATTATCATTTGTGATTGATAAAATTATTTCCTACAATCATTACGCATGTTTCTTCAAATCAAAACTTCTGAGCAATTGCCGTTGTTTAAGCTCAAATTTAAAAACTTTGTTAAAACTGTTAAATTTAAAACCCTAAAATGTACGAAATTATTAGTAAAATGTAATAGCTCAAATTTAAAAACTTAAAATGTACGATTGTATCTAATATATATATAAAAAAAACACCTTACTTTAGTCTAAAGTAAATTTCCTTTGCAACCCAATTTCATTGAATATAATATTGAATTTAAAATAACTTATTTCATTTTATGTATTTAATAACTTCATTTTTAATTTTATAAATAACTCAAATACGTTAATTTTATATTATACATTACGTTAAAGTATTTAAATAAGAACAGATTTTCAGTTGTCAACCGGCAGCTTATTATTTTTGTATATTTATTACTTTGATGATAGAATACAAATTTATTTCATTTTCTTAAACAATTACGCGTTTAGAATTACTACTTTTGTAAAATTTAGCATCTTTTTATTTTTTAGAATTATCATTTCGTAATAATTATAACAACATCACGATTACAAAAACCATAGAGAGAACCAACTTATGAAATATATTGCAACTTTAAATCCATTCCAGTTTTAGCATTTACATACATCATCTGATATATATAATTCTCTTACATGGCTCCCAAATTTTGGCTGTATTTCTTTTCCGCCGGTGGCAACGTTTGCTTTGTTTTGTTTACGTTTTAAAAAAAAACACCAAAGCATTCTGCCTTTAAATGATGTGTTTCTGATTGAAGAATTAAGGATGGATTTAAGAAGAGCTGTGAAGTAGTGGCTCCCAAATTTCGCTGTATTTGTTTTCCGCTGGTGGTAACGTTTGCTTTGTTTTGTTTACGTTTTGAAAACACCAAAGCATTCTTCCTTTTAATGATGTGTTTCTGATTAAGAATTAAGGATGGATTTAAGAAGAGCTGTGAAGTATTATTGCAATAACAGTCGTCGAAGAATTCTTAGAGAGAGTGAAACTTCCGAGGAAGCCAGCTATCGCCGTGCCAATCGCGTAGAGGCGGACAGGTTGCGACGTGCAGCACGTGATCGTGGTATCGGCATTTGCGATATAGCGTTACTAACGGAGCATGATTGCGGGTCGATGACTGAAAATTGCCAATATTGTTCTGCACTGTATTGGAAGAAGGAGGAAAACTGTAGCAAACGTTATAAGAAATGTTGCCATGGTGGTAAAGTACAGTTGCCAGATCTTGGCACTCTTCCTTTTCTACTCCAAGATCTTCTGACCGGCAATTCCTCGGACTCAAAAAATTATCGATCTCACATAAGGGAATACAATGCTGCTTTTGCTTTTGCTTCTATGGGAGCCCAAATAAAGGCCCCTCCAGGAACTGGGCCATAGGCCATACTCTTTTCGAATCCATGACCAGATCTACCATATGGTGTCCCACTTTATGCTGGCAGGGAAAACAATTCTGGATACCGACAGTTATATATATATATATGACTCGAGCAAGGCTACAGAGAGAAGAAAGGGAAGAAACGAAGGGTGTTCAGAAATCGTTATGAAAAAGTTGGATGATATGTTGCGTCAAGTAAATCCCTTTGCAGATTCTTTCACCAAGATGCATCAAATTGTTCAAAATAATCTAACAGTTCCCGTAAAGATGGTTTTTATGGAGGATGGCAACCTGTATCTGCGGAGATATAACAAACCTACAACTACAACTGAGGTTGCTGATGATATCATAACAAAATGCATGATCCATGGGCCGTGTGGCCCTTTGAATCCTAATTCCCCGTGCATGAGAGATGGGGAGTGTTCAAAAAAATTTCCTAAGGAATTCAATGAATGTATTGAAGAAAATGCTAACGGATACCCTGTATATCAGCGTAGACCAAAAGAGCCTGTCAAAGTGGGAAAATATGAAATAGACAACAGATGGGTTGTCCCATACAATCCCTGGCTTTCTAAGAAATTTAATGCACACATTAATGTAGAAGTATGCGCTTCTGTGAAAAGCATTAAGTACCTCTACAAATATGTCTACAAAGGTCATGACTCTGCTTCTATCAGGCTCACAACTGAAAGCGGAAGACTTGACCATGATGAAATAACAACATTTTTAGATGGTAGATATGTAAGTGACTCTGAAGCAATTTGGTGTTTAAGTGAATTTAATATGTCTGACAGATCTCATACAGTCATGTGTCTGGTAGTTCATTTACCACTCCAGCAGCAAATGGTGTTCATTGGTATGCAAGAAGCTCAGGCAGCAGAACAAGCTGCTATGAAGTGTACAACCTTGACAGCTTTTTTTGATTTATATAAAACGGATAATGCAGCTCACAGCTACACTTACTCTGACATTCCCATCACTACGTTTTTGACAAAAGTGGAACAAAATGGAAGAGGCGCCAGCGAGGATCACAGCAGGTGATTGGAAGAATGCCTGTAGTTAGTGTTCAGGACAGTAAAAGATTCTATTTAAGAATGTTGTTACTCAGATGCAAAGGAGTCGTTGGTTTTGAAGATATCCTTACTGTGGACGGAATGCTGGGTACTTCTTTTCAAGAAGCATGTAAGAGGACAGGACTTCTGGAAGGAGATGAACATTGGAACCAG